AGTTTCTCGACGGCTTTTGTCATGGAGGAATGTTGGATTTTGTCAAAAGCTATTTCTGCATCTATTGAGATGATTATACAATTTTTGCTTTTAATTCCATTTATGTGGTGAATCACATATGACTGATTTGCATATGCTGAAGCAAACTTGCATCCCAAGAATTAAGTGTACTTGATCATGGTGAATGAAATTCTTAATGTAGTACTGGTTTTCATTTGCTAGTATTTTGTTGAGGATTTTTGCATCTATGTTAATCAGGGATATAGGCCCACATTTTTTGTTGTTGTCGTATCTTTGCCAGGTTTTGGTATCAGGGAAATGTGGCTTCATAGAGTTAGTTAGAAAGGAGTATCTTCTCCTTGAGTTTTTGGAATAGTTCCGGTTGAATAAATATCAGCTCTTCATTGTACGTCTGGTAGAATTTGGCTATAAATCCATCTGGCCTGGGCTTTTCTTGGTTGGTAAGGTTTTTTTTAAATCACTGATTTAATTTTGCAACTTGACATTTGTTGGTTCAGTGTTTCAACTACTTCCTGATTCAATCTTGAGAGATTGTGTGTTTCCAGGAAACTTATCCATTTCCTCGAGATTTTCTAGTTTGTGTGTGTGGAGGTGTTCATAAGAGTCTCTGAGGATCTTTTGTATTTCTATGGGATTGGTTATAATGTCACTTTTGTTTCTGGTTATGTTTATTTGACTCTCTTTTTTTTTCTTTTTAAATATAGCTAGCAGTCTATTATCCTTCCAAATAATCAAATTTTGATTTTGTTGATTCTTTGTAAGCCTCACATTATTCTTCTGAACACAGAAGCTACCTCTATTGTCATTGATATATGACATAAAGTGTACATTCAATATTTGGCCTAGATACAAGTTGCAGCTATCTGGATTAACATAAGGGCAAATGAGACAGAGGGATGAGTAGGACTAAAATCCCAGGGGCTACTGAAATAGAATAATAAATATCCAAAGAACGGTTAGATGTGGAAAGTCTAGAAAAGATGTTAGGAACTTGTTCATTGATTCTTACAATTTGTAGAATACCATATTAGATTCTGAGGATGAGAAGATAAAGTAAGTCACAGTTCCCCTATGGATAGAGTCTCTAGTATAAGAAATTGGGAATTTGCACAAAGGGAAGATACATAGGATAAAATCATTTGTGTGTTGTAAAGTTACCTACTGATTTTTAGATAATTACTATCTTTTAGTCCAAACCAGAACTTATAATTTCATTCATGGTCTAAGAATGGACTGAAAACTTGCAACCTTCCTGACCAGAAGGAGTAATTGGCACCTACGGCAGTAAATGTGAACTTGTGGGAAGCAAAACTGAGCCTAACCTGTTTTCTACTCCTATAAACCACAAAAATGTGGGAGGATTTTAAATGACAAACTGATGAGCTCAGGTTTAAACATAATGGGTCTGAGGTGAGAGTGACAGCAGTAATTGGTAAAGATACTAACATATTATTGTGAAGTATGTTCTTATACCTAGCTGGTTGAGGGATTTTTTTTTTTTTTATTGTGAAGGGATGCTAAATTTTATCAAATGCTTTCTCTGCATCTGTTGAGATGATCATGTCATTTGTGTCCTTAATTCTGTTTATGTGATGAATCACCTTTACCATTTTGTGTATGTTGAAACATCATTGCATCCCAGGAATAGAACCTACTTGGTCATGATGTTTTATCTTTTTGATGTGCTGTTGGATTCATTTTGCTATTATTTGGGTGAGGATTTTTGTGTCTATGTTCATCAGAGATATTTACCTCAAAATAATAAAGGCTATAATATGAGAAACCCATAGCCAACATCATACTGGACAGAGAAAATTTGAAAGCATTCCCTCTAAGACCTGGAACAAGACAATGATGCCAATTTTTACTACTCCTATTCAATATAGTACTGGAAGTCATAGTCAGAAAAATCAGTCAGGAGAAAGAATTTCTTTCTTTCAGAAAGGAAGAAGTCAAATTATCTCGGTATGCTAACGACACGATTTTATATATAGGAAACCCCAAAATCCTGTCAAAACTCTAGATTTAATAAATGAATTCAGTAAAGTTTCAAGATACAAACCAACATACAATAATCAGTAGCATTTCTATATACCAGTAACAATAAAGCAGAGAACTAAATCAAGAAGGCAATCTCACAATAACTATCAAAAAATGTGCCTAGGAATACATTTAACCAAGGAGGTTAAATATCTCTACAAGAAGAACTACAAAGTACTGATGAAAGAAATTGTAGATGACACAAACAAATGAAAAAATAACCCATAGTCATGGATCAGAATAATTAATGTTATTAGAATTGATGGATACACTAAAAGCCCATACTTCACCACTATGCAATATGTTGTAATAAAACTGCACTTGTACCCTTTAAATTTATACAAATAAAAAAGACACTAACATAGCAGCTAACATTAGAATAGCATTTTACAATCTGCAAAGCACACTTATCCACATTTCTTAATCCCAGTCCTGATCCTATGAGCTGAGGAAGATAACATATAAAAACTAAAGTATAGCATAACCAGCAAAAAGTTTATATAGCCATAGAAATAAATAAACATACCTGGGGAGGAGGGTAGAAAAATAATAGCAGATGATTGAGCCAGAGATAGAGGGTGGAAGGAGGAATGATGACTGTACAGACATCAGATTCTTTTTCATTGGGGTTTCTTGGGATATTTGTCTTTCATGAGAGCCATTCATGTGTATTAGTGAAAACCATGGGTTTCAACACCTTCCAGGATGACAGGAGTGTGCACTTCTAAATTACCTCAACTCTGGCTGGGCGCGGTGGCTCACTCCTGTAATTCCAGCACTTTGGGAGGCCAAGGCGGGCGGATCACAAGGTCAGGAAATCAAGACCATCCTGGCTAACACGGTGAAACCCTGTCTCTACTAAAAATACAAAAAATTAGCCTGGCGCGGTGGTGGGTGCCTGTAGTCCCAGCTACTTGGGAGGCTGAGGCAGGAGAATGGCGTGAACCCTGGAGGTGGAGCTTGTAGTGGGCCGAGATCACGCCACTGATCTCCAGCCTGGGCAACTGAGCAAGACTCTGTCTCAAAAAAAAAAAAAATTATCTCAACTCTGTATCGATTTATTTATTATTCCTTTCATAAACTTAAAAAATATTATCTCTTGGTCAATCCATGTTCTCAGCAATATGGAAATAACCAGAAGAGAATAACAGAATACTAGAAAATCTTCTGGTATCTGTGGCCAGTTTTGCAAGTTGACACAGAAAACAGAACTCTCATACAGTCAAATGTGTCTTAATTTTAAGTAACTAGATTTCACATTGAAGTAGACAGTATAATAGTGGTTACCAGACTGAGGAGTGGACACGAAAAGCAAAGATATTAGTCAGTGTTCAAAGTTTCGGTTAGACTAGAGGAATATGTTCTAGTGTTCTATTGCACATCATGGTGATTATAGTTAATAATAATGCATTGAATACTTCAAAATTTCTAAAAGAATAGATGTTAAATGTTCTTACCATAAAGAAATCATAAGTATATTAGGTGATTAATAAGTTAATTAGCCTGATTTAGTCATACAATTTATGTTTGTCAATTAAAAATTTAAAAATAACTGAAATGTAAATTAATTAAAACTTTAAAACACAACTAGAGTTTATAGCAACCGTAAAAGTAGGCTCTGATCTTCCCAGATTTGTTTCCCTTCATTTGGAGTCTATTTTCCTAAGCATGAGGCTGTGTTTAATGAGAATATCGCTGAACTGGGGGTTAGCAGATTGTATTCTAGATCCACATTAATAACTTCCTTGCTGTATGTCTTGGAAAAGTTATTGTACTTTTTGATCTTCAGTTTCCTCTTCTGAGAATGACATTTGGATAGCTTCAGTTGCATAGGACCTGGCCCTAGCCCTGCCTATTCCTCATGTCCTATCCCCTCCCTGGATCACTCTGCTGCAGCAATTCATGTCAAGTGCAATTCATGAGTGCAATTCATGAATTGCACTCAATTCATGTCAAGCTCTTTTCAGCCCTAGAGTATTTTCATTTGCTGTCCTCTCTGCCATTGTCCTTCAGGCCAGTTATACTCCATCATCTTATTCAACTTTATTTTTTTCATTTGTTATATTAATATTTTTAAGCAATGAACTAATTTCTTTGTTTTATTGCTTATCACTCTCCCAAGAATACAAAATCCACGGAAGAAGGCAAAGATTCCTCATAATCCCAAATGCTTAGAACAATATCTAAAATATAGAATGTCCTCAATAAATAGTTTCCAAATGAATGGATGATTTTCTTTTTTATAATTTAACTTTTGTTTTTAAGTTCTGGGGTGCACTTGCAGGTTTGTTACTTTGGTAAACTTGTGTCATGGGGGTTTGTTGCACAGATTATTTCATCACCTAGATATTAAGCCTAGTATCCATTAGTTATTTTTCCTAATCCTCTCCTTTCTCTCATCCTCTACCCTCTGATAGGCTCCAGTGTGTGTTGTTCCCTCTGTGTGTCCATGTGTTCTCATCATTTAGTTCTCACTTTTAAGAACACACAGTATTTGGTTTTCTGTTCCTGTGTTAGTTTGCTAAGGATAATGCCCTCCAGCGCCACCCATGTTCCTGCAAAGGACATGATCTCATCGTTTTTTATGGCTGCATAGTACTCCGTGGTGTATATGCACCACATATTTTTATCCAGTGTAACATTGATGGACATTTGGGTTGATTCCATGTCTTTGCTATTGTAAATATTGATGCAGTGAACATGTGCATGCATATGTCTTTATAATAGAACCATTTATATTCCTTTGTATATACCGAGTAATGGAATTGCTGGGTCAAACAGTATTTCTGTCTTTAGGTCTTTGAGGAATTGCCACACTGTCTTCCACAATGGTTGAACTAGTTTACACTCCCACTCTCAGTGTATAAGTGTTCCTTTTTCTCCATAACCTCACCAGCATCTGGGTTTTTTTTTTTTTCATGTTTTAGTAATAGCCAAAGAATGGATGATTTTCAAAACAGGATTTATTGGAGAAACTTTATTGTTCAAGTAGAATCTTACCTAAGTGCTTGATACACAAGCAAAACTAGATAACATCAGGTCTACTGTGATTGTGGAAAAATAAGACAAGAAACTTCCTTCATATAAGCCTTGAGATGCACCTTAAAGCAACCTCTCAGAATCCAGCTCTTTAGGATTGCCTTGGAAACCACTGGGACAGATCAACTCTACATTTCATAACAGTTTATGATTATGCTTCTAAGTTCCTTCTTTGATCTCAACATAAAGTATTTTATCAGTACCAATGTTTACAAAATTTGGATGCATTTTTCCATGGATGTGTTACTATATTGTAGTGTTCCCATCCTCATTCCCTCTTCTTGCTGTAAAATTGTGGCTTGCAATCAAGGAACTGCAGTATATATAACAGAGTTCCACAGGTCCTCTAACTAGTGTGGTTACATTTGTACTTTAGTTTCTAAATGAGCTGGCTTGAAGTCTAATCTGTATACTGTAGGAAGTCCAGTTCTTTACTCAAATCTCCAACTGTTTTCAGGGGTTATGTTCTCCCAGTACTACCTCTGTAGCTCACTTTCTCAATGTGTCTTGGGGCCTAGAAGCTACTCTCCTCTCCCAGCACTAAAGCCAGCAACCCTGCCATTCATTGATCAATATGCTAATTCACTCATTCCCTTTATAGCACTGCTGATATAACATTATTTTAGCAGGCTTGTACTGAAGGCTCTTCAATTTTTCATATCGTGTGTGTATAGGGAGGAAACATTTAAAGGGAATTACAGTGAAACATAAAAGGAAGATAATTTGAATCAAATGTTATCATTAACATCCTAAATATCCATCTGATAATCCTCTCAGTGAGAAATTTCTCACTGATCTTTTCACTTTTATTCTCTCTTCCTCAGTGTTTCTGTTTTACTTAACACACTCACTTATAATAGCTGTGAATCTCAATTTCCAAATTTTTATTTCTTTTTCAATTTAGAGTAATCTCACTCTCTGTTTTCATCTCCTTCTTCCTGATCATATTCTGTACAGCCCCCTATTTCACAAGCAAAGAGGTCATCAAGGATTTTTTTTATACATAGGACCATCATTTTCATACAGATCATGCCACATTCTTGGCACATGAAAGCAACTTCAGGTAGTTCTTGCTTTAAATAGCATTTGTCATTTCACTCTTTCTACATTTCTGTACACTATAAGCTTATCCTAGTTATTCCATTGCCCAGTAAAACATCATCCTGTACCCTTAGTAGAAAACAAAACTATAACCTTATCTCTGATCTGTTGGTCTTCACTCCGTAAACCATGGGGTTAAGTGCAGGTGGGATAACAATGTAGAGATTGGCAAACACGATGTGGAAGGTGCGAGAGACATTGTGTCCAAAGCGATGGGCAAGGATGGAGAAAAAGGCAGGCATATAAAACATGAGGATGACACAGACATAAGAACCACAAGTGCCGAGGGCTTTCTGGCGGGCATCTTGGGAGGGAAGGCGAAAGACAGCACAAAGGATAAGGGCATAGGAAACAGCAATGAGAATCACATCTGAGATGACCATCATGATGGGAACACAGAAGCCATACCAGATGTTGATGGAGATATTAGCACAGGCGAGTCGGACAACGCCTATATGCTCACAGTATATGTGGGGTATGATACGTGTCCTGCAGAAAGGCAGGCGCGTCAGCAAGAATACGTCTGGTAGGATGATTCAGAACCTTCGAAAGGAGATGCCCATAGCAATCTTGATGATGGTCTTTGGAGTCAAGATGGTGGTATATCCCAAGGGAGAACAGATAGCTACATAGTGATCAAATGCCATGGCCATCAGAATGGCTGAATCCAGGACAAAGCTGTAGTGAAGGAAGAACATTTGTGTAAGGCATCCTGGGAATGTGATTTTGCAAGCCCCCAGCCAAAGATACTGAGTGTTTTAGACACACCAGCGGTGAACAAGGTGAGGTCAGTCATGGCAGCAAGGAGAGAAAGAAAAACATGGGTTCATGAAGACTATGCTCCACCACAATGAGGTAGAAAAAGATGCAGTTTCCCACAACAGCTACAATGTAGATGATACAGAAGGGAATTCCAATACACACGTGGAATTGCTCCAGGCCTGGGATCCCTACCAGAATGAAGGGCCCTGGATTGTAACTGCTCAGATTGAAAATGATCATGGCAGATGCAGATGGCATAAATCTCAGCTCCTAAAGACAGAGGGTGATTAAGGATAGTTAGAGAAACTTGAGTAACTCTCAAACTTTCAACTAATTATCATTATGGCCTCCTGAAGATAAAGTGACCATATAATTTGTCATCCAAAATAGAACCTGTTTGAAATCAACAAAGGTTAAAATTAGTAATAATGGTAGCAACATGCATAAACCAAGATTTTTCCAGATACAAATAGGTACATTATTAGTCTACCTGAAGAGAATCTTTTCTTTCTTCTGGCCTCCCCCAGTAGTTTACACAGCTACTCCAGGAAGCCTTCCAGACTGGTTACACTCTTCATTGTACACTGTTCTCCCGTACAAGTTAACAAAGTACAGAATACACTTTTTCATGGTGGATTATAGCTTATATGACCTTATGGACATCATTATTTAGGATCTGCTTGCTCTGTCATTGCCCCCAAGACAACTATTTGCTTCTCTTAAAGCTACCTGATGACTGTGGCTCTTAGATTTGTAAGATCAACACCCCTTTATTGCCATCTAAAAACCTAATTCAGTTCCTACACTATGCTGGATAACATGTGTAAGCCAAATTTAAATTAGAAAAGTCCCTTATAGCTGCGGCTCACTAGCCTTTCTCCTCAAAAAAAAAAAAAAAAAAAAAAAAAAAAAAAAAAATCAGTAGTTTTCCAACACTTTATATACTACACAAGTGTATTCTAATAGTGTGGACTTAGTGACACTATCAGTCAAGGTTTCTGTCCAAAAGAAGGACTGCGTTTTTGTGAACATACATCTATTAGAGAGACATATCGACCCAAGCAAGAGACATACTCTCTCAAACACAGACCCTTAATATTTACATTCTCAGGCATATCCGGACCTACACTTATATTTTGTCATATATTTTGCCGCCATATATTTACCCATACATAATCTTACACAATTATAAGCCCCTTCTCCTCCCGTCTTCCCCACACACATGTGCTGAGAATATAAACAAAACATTTCATAATTAGATTTTGTCATTGTCACAGGCTTTGTAAATTCCTAAAACCTCTCCACTGGTCCTATACCTTCTTCCTTCCCTAGTAATGCCTCTACCCACCCCTCATCAAACATCCCATTTCATTTACATAGAAAGATATTTTTTATGCATATAGATACTCCTTATGCTTATAGATACTCCTTTTGTGAGTAGAAAGACACTACATGTGTAAGTGCTACAGGTAATAAACCATACAGCAAGGCCAGGGGCTTCCAGAATCAGGACTAAAATGAGACTTGTGGTAGCCATATACGTCATATTCCTCACCTAAGAAGGCCAAGAATCATGTTTAAACTTATTCCTACCCCTGTATTTTATGTCCTTCTTGGGCCCAGCTCATAATGCTTTCCATTCCTCAGATCAGAACTTATTTTCTTTACTCTTCTTTAGGTAAAAAGAGACATATGATGTTTTCTCTTTATTTCTTACCCTTCCTTATCTATAGGTAAAAACACTTTTCTTACAACAACTCAAACTCTCCTCTACAGTGTCTTCACATTCTAGATTCTGAGAACATAGTCCAAACTTCAGAGGGTGGGTCACAGCTCAGCCCCCCCATCTACTGAGGATTCAAGGTTTTCCTGCTTAGTCCACCTTCATCTTGATTCTCTTATCCACTGGGGCCATAGAATTCACCTGTTGCTAACACTAGAAACCTGACTAGGTTGTTCAGCCTTCATGTTGGAAACTCCTCTTCTATGCTGTTCACATACTCAAACATCACGTGAAAACTCCTCTTCTATGCTGTTCACATACTCAAACATCACGTGAAAACTCCTCTTCTATGCTGTTCACATACTCAAACAACATGTGGCATCAGCATACTGAAACTATATGTTAATACTTTGAATCACAGCTCTCCCATCTTGTCTGAGGTCATCCTTTACTCATATATATGTGAGGAAAGGTTTTCTTGAGTTTTTATATTTCCATGAACTCAAATACAACAGATGTTCATGAAGTCATCCAAAAGCATTCACAAACACACATGGGTGCACAGACAGTTAACTCTCAGGGTTCTCATTTAACGATCAGACAAATCCACAACGTGGAAAAATCTACAACAGTCTGTTTTCTTTTTTCAAGTCAATGCCATTAAAGGGGAAAGGGGAATATTAGATAAGGAAAATCCATTTCCAGATTAAAGTACATTTAAGAGAAAAACAAATGCAGTGCAGTTATTTATTTATTTATTTATTTACTTGAGACAGAGTCTCACTCTGTCACCAAGGCTGGAGTGCTGTGGCATGATCTCAGCTCACTGCAACCTCTACCTCCTCGATTCAAGCAATTCTCCTGCCTCAGCTTCCCGAGTTGCTGGGATTACAGGCGCCCACCACCACCCCCACCTAATTTTTGTATTTTTAGTAGAGACGGGCTTTCACCATGTTGGCCAGGCTGATCTCAAACTCCTGACCTCAGATGATCCACCCACCTCAGCCTTCCAAAGTGCTAGGCTTACAGGTGTAAGCCACCATGCTTGGCCCGCAGTGTAGTTCTTGATCGAATTCTGTTTAAACAAACCAGGTATTGAATTCAATTAATGAATATTTAGGGAAACTTAAATATGGACTAGGTATAGAATGATATAAAGGAATTAGTATTAATTTTATCAGTAATAATTATTGTATTATGGTAGACACACACACATACACTCAGGCATCCACAGTATGTTAGCAAAATATTGGCACAGAGCATGTGCTCTGGAGCCTCAGAAAGCTAGCTTTCACAGCTTAATCATGGTTCCACAATTTACTAGCTATGTGAATCTGGGCAAGCTAGTTAAACTATATGATATTTGGGTTCCTATGTTTTTAAAAGAAATTAGTATTTCTAATTTTTACAATTATTATTAGGACAAAATGATACACACTAAAAAAAAAATTTTTTTTTGAGACAGAGTCTTGCACTGTTGCCCAGGCTGGGGTGCAGTGGCACAATCTTGGCTCACTGCAACCTCCATCTCCACGGTTCAAGTGATTCTCCTGTCTCAGCCTCCCAAGTAGCTGGGATTACAGGCGCCCACCACTATGCCAGCTATTTTTTTTTTTGTATTTTTAGTAGAGACAGGGTTTCACTATGTTGGCCAGGCTGGTCTCAAACTCCTGACCTCGTGAACTGCCCACCTCGTCCTCCCAAAGTGCTGGGAATACAGGCATGAGCCACCACACCCGGCCGAAAAATATTCAATATAGTACCTGAAACATAGTAAGCATATAACAAGTTTTACTTCTTTATATTAGGTTATATTTATATCATTAGTATTATCATTAACAGTCAGACCACACAGTGGAGAAGAGAACAGAAATAGCAAGATGGATAAAAATTAACAAGAGCACCCCTGGGCATACACACATACCAGCACACTTAATTCTACATTTTAGGTAAGAGTTACGGACTCTTGTCATATGTCTTGAAACAGAAATTTCCCAACACTGCTAACTGTGGTCATATTTAACCCAACTGTGTAATTATCCATCTGTTCTGATCTTTTGATGCTTTTTCAGTGGAGCATATACACAAGTATTGGAGATCAGGACCTCAGTTTATAAATGGGAGTTGCTCAGGGAAGAAAATTATAGTGCCCAGTCCATGGCCCCTAAGAAATAGGGCCCTGGCTTTTCACTCACTTTCTCTAAGTCTTGTCCCAATCAAAGCCCTTCAAATAGCCAATACTCACCAAATCTTGGGGATCAGGCCAAAGGAAAAGAAGAAAGAATGTGTTGACAAAACCTGCAAGAGAGCAGACACACCAACTGAAAAAAATAAATAAAAATAAAAATAAATAAGTGGAAGGAAAAGGAAGGACGTTAGAGAGGTTGATTCCCTGTCCATTTATTTTCTCTGATCACTCACTGCTCTCTGTGGGGAAAAGGCAGGTAGTCAGGGGATTAAGGACTCTGATATGCCTTCTTCTCATCCTCAAGGGAAGAAAATGAAAAAGATTCTATTAACTTTGTTAATGTCTTTGAGTAAACACTGCTTTAGGGTACTTTATTTATTTATTTATTTGTTTGTTTATTCGTGAGCTGATATGTATGTGAGTGGAAAGCCGTGTGGATGTGCCTGTCATATCACCCAGGTTTCAAGTTCATGCCCTCACTTACCAGATAAAGGACTTTGGACGAGTTACTTAATTTCCATTAAAAGATGGTCATATTAGTACGTATCTCTCAAGATTTTATAAGGATTGACAAATTAAGTAGGGTACTGCTTGTGAAAATGCTTAACATATTGGCAAACTCATACTGTAGAAGAATAACCTAGGGCACCTGTTAAAATAAAAATTATATGGCCCACATGAAATAATCCTAACTTTATCTTTTAAAAATTCCAGTGACTTTAGGGGTACAAGTGTTTTTTGATTACATGGCTGAATTGTATAATGGTGAAGTCTGGGTTTCTAACGTACCTGTCAACCGTATTGTGTAGTGTGTACTCAACAGGTAATTCTTCATCCCTCACCCCTCTCCCAACCTCTCCTCTCCTGGGTCTCCAGTGTCCATTATACTACAATGTATGCCCTTGCATACCCATAACTTAGCTCCCACTTATAATTTTTAAAAAATTAAACTTCATTAAAAAATTATAAAAACAATTTGAGCAAATAAAATATATTCTTATGGAAAAACTGTTAGGTCTACCTGCTGGTACTGTCAGGAATTTCTGGAAGTCCAGATATCAATTTTTACCTGAGAGGCTTTTATCCCACAATTCTGAAAGCCAAGTCAGTTTCTGTCAATGTTTGTCAAATGTTTGCTAAATATTGTTGGATGTGTTAATTAATAAAGATTACCAGGAGTCCACTCAGTACTCTGAATGTTCTATTATATCTGGAATAAACCAGAACTAAAGAGATTAGCATTGTATTGGCTCCTGACAGAATTTTTACCTTCTGCTGAATAAAAATTGAGGTTACTTCACTTCCCTATACTAGGATAAGGGACTGAAAAGTCACATGAACTTGTGTATTCTGTAAGAATGTCATTAATTGCATCACTTACTGCCTATTCTAAGAGCTTTCTGAAGATATTTCTCTGTTCTTCATATAAAGAGTAGTTTTGCTTCTCTAACAATTAACTGTCTGAACTTATAGCTATCATGAATGATTTAGCTAATCATGTTTAACTCTCACACAGACTGCTAGAAAGCTTACAGCTGAATTTCTGACCCACATATAATAAGAGAACAAAAATTCATAGCAGGTGAAAAGTGTATTTTCAGCCTATTTTTTATCTTAATTTTTAAAAATCTGTCTATTTTTCTTTTTGCCTTTTCTATTTATACTTTGTAATATGCCACATAACAATGTTTCTGAACAATGGTCCCATAAGATTACAATACCCTATTATAGAGTACCTTGTCTATGTTTAGACATGTTTAGATGCACAAATACCCTTGTATTACACTTCCCTACAATATTCGGTATAGTAACATGATGTACAGTTTCGTAGCCTAGGAGCTATAGAATATATTACAGAGCCATGGCTATATCACACAGATTTATGTAAGTACGCTCTATGAGATTTGCACAATAATAAAATCACCTAACAACACATTTATGAGACTGTAGCCTCATTGTTAAGTGGCACCTGACTATATTTTTATTTATGGTATGCAAAATACATCAAATAATTTTGGAAACAATGTATGTAGCTATTGTCACACGTTAAGAGATAGAATATAAATTCAAATACAATTCTCTGTGTCCAAAGGGCATCCTTTTCTATTAAAACTATATGTTGAGGGCCATTGTAGAAATAAAAATTCAATGATATGTGAAAAGGGTAGTAGCACAGGGATGGCAAAGTGGTCTCAAGGTAAAGACACCATGAACAACTCTGACATTTTGAGTCAAGTGAAAGCAATGAGGGTTTGAACTACTGGGGTAGGGGAGGAGGGTGCCTGCACTCAGCTGGGGAACCCAAGAGGTTATTTAGAAAAAAAACCACAGGTTTTGAGGACATATCAGATTTGAAGGGGAAAGAAGACATTGACTATCATTACTACCTGGCAAACACCTAAAAATAATTATTACTGACCGAGTGACTGAATGACTCACTATGACCAAGTTATGCATATTGGATTTGAAGAGATAATGAATCACACAGAGGTACATTTTTGGCTTGTGACTACATCTCTATGAAGATACAAACATGAAAGAAAAATTGAGACCACTAGTGCTTCCAATTGGTCAAGTCTCAAACCCACTTCTTAGTCTGTATATGCTTTACCATTTTACTAGCCATAGGAATTTGCCTCCCTCCTTTTATTCCTTGTGGAAAACTCCACCCACCTACATCTCATTTGGCTTTCTCAAGGTTGAGTTAAACATTGAGTTTTATCATTGCCTTATCCCTTTGCTTAATATAAACACCTGCACTCTTAAGTTAATAATTTTATGATTATTTGCCATTTATTTATTTGATAAACATTGTATGTCCCTAGTGTATGCTACATATCATACTTGATATTGTCTAGAAATTAATAGGTATGAACAAAGTAAAAACTCAGAACCCTGCAGAATCATCAAAGAGGTAATTTACTGCCTTGCTATGGTGTATAAATAAACTATTATGATATATACATCTGAAAAACCATTGAGATTTGCCAATCATTACATTGTCTTCATTAAAAGTTTTATAATCACTTTAGAGCAATCATAAGGAATTACAAAAGTTCTTGTTTCAAGAAGTCAAAAAATATTTATTATTTCCTAGACTCAGAACTTACTTTGCTGTAACTGGAATGATTGAGTAGACTTCTGCCTCAAATCACAAAGAAAGCAAAACTCAAGTTCTCGTTAATAAATTTTAGTCTGTCCTTTTTCTTGGGCATCTGAACACAGGTTCAGTCTTTGACCCAACATACACTAGGAACTTGTCCCTACCTCCAAGAGCTCAGGCACCTATCACTGGGACCCCTTGGGAAAGAGCAGAAGAAGGATTCTGTTCCAGATTGCTTGGTCTTTACTCCGTAGACAAGAGGGTTGAGAGCAGGTGGGATGATTACGTAAAGGTTGGCAAATATCATATGAAAGGTATGAGGGACATTATGCCCAAAGCAATGGGCAAGGATGGAGAAGAATGCTGGTATATAGAATACAAGGATAACACAGACATGGGAACCACAGGTGCCAAGGGCCTTCTGCCGGGCATCTTGGGAGGGGAGACAAAAGACAGCATAGAGGATGAGGGTGTAGGAGACAGCAATGAGGATCACATCTGTCATCACTGTCATGATAGGAATACAAAATCCATACCAGATATTGATGGAGATATCAACACAGGCGAGCTGGGCAACACCTATGTGCTCACACTATGTGTGAGAAATGATATGTGTCCTGCAGAAGGGTAAATGATTCACAAGGAAAACACACGGGACAAAAACACAGAGACTTTGGAAACATATTCCCACAGCAATTTTGATAATGGTTTTGGGAGTCAGAATAGTAGTGCATCTCAAGGGTGAGCAGATGGCCATATAGCAGTCAAATGCCATTGCCAGCAGTATAGCTGAGTCCAACACAAAGCTATAGTGCAGAAAGAATAATTGGGTGAGACAGCCAGGAAAACTGTTTGGGAACCAAATCAGAAGATGCTAAATGTTTTGGGGACACATACGGTGGACAATATGAGGTCAGTAATGGCCAGCATGGAAAGGAAAAAGAACATGGGTGTATGAAGACTGTACTCCACCACAATGAGGTAGAGAAGGATACTGTTGGCCATGACAGTCATGAGATAGATAAAGCAGAACGGGATGCTGGTCCAGACGTGGTACTGCTCAAGTCCGGGGATGCCCAGAAGGGTGAAGGGGCTTGTACCATGGTCACTCACATTGTACATGGTCATTAAGATCAATAACTTCTGTGTCCTAAAAACAAATTGTTTATAATGAACATGAGGAAATTGTATGGTAACTCTTCCTCCACCACTTCCTCGGGGCCGGTCCGCCTCTTTCCTATATTCCAAGAAGAAACCTCTCATTGATATTAAGAGCAATGTCCATCACTTGAAGTAAGACTCTCAGACCCAAAACTTCTGATACTAATCATCCAATTACTCTAGAATCTTCTTCAAACTGCATAAACTGCTATTCCCATTTTAATGACTGAGTTCTCCCTGGGTCAATGGAAGTTGCTGCTCTATAGATATGAGTACACAGAAAAGTAGTCTAACTACATGCAGGGATAGAAAGAAACTGAAAAATACTGGATCACAGTTGGGAAAATGAGATAATTAACAATTACAGACTCCCACTACGTGCCAGGTTCTTGAAAAATATTATCTTATTTAGAACTACCTTCTGAGATAGGTATTTTTATCCCCCTCATTTTTTTTTTCTTTTTTTTTTTTTTTTGGCAGAAGCTGAAACTGAAACGTAATCTTACCTAACAACTCACCTTTAGTAACTAGCAGAGCCGAGGTCATTAGATTCCACAGCCACTACTCTTTCATGTTACTGTTACACCAGGTGACTGCCTCAACTCACTGTGACATGCCAAGAATTCAGAAGAGGCATGGAAGTGTAGCAAACGATGTAAGGAAACGGATTACTGGAACTGTCATTTGTCCCGCACACTGACCCTACCCCAATTTCAATGACTGTTCTGATATCCCAGACGCTACACAGAGAGACTTAAGGCGTGTAGACCAAAATGTTCTCTGAGATTGTGATGTTTGATGCCTCCCATATGAATGACATGAGAAAGGGTATGAGGCTCAATCTCA